TATATAGGATAGAGGCCTGGTGCATGGGTGGGGGCTGGCTGGTTTGCCCTGAAGGGTGTCCCAGATCAGGGTGGGGGTCCAGCTAGGGTGCCTGGCCAGCCTGGGTGAGGGACTGATGACTGTGTGCAGGCTGGCCACAGCCCCTTCAGGGTAGAGGGCCCAGCTAGGGTGCCTGGCCAGCCTGGGTGAGGGGCTGATGACTATTTTCATGCTGGCCACGGCCCCCAGCCACCCAAGCTCCCAGTGGAGGCTGGCTGGAAGCAGGTATCCAGGATTTATTTATCTTCTATAATTGAAACTTTGTTGCCTTTAGCGGAGGCCACAGCCGGCCAGGGCAGGCGGGAAGCTTGGCTTCCTCCATCGCCGGGGCAACCAAGCCTCCTGCTTGCTCCAGCTCCGTGGCTGCCGACCGCCATCTTGGTTGGGTTAATTTGCATATAGTTGCTCTGATTGGCTGGTGGGCGTGGCTTGGGGCATAGCAAAGGTATGGTCAATTTGCATGTTTCTCTTTTATTAGATTAGATTATTTTTCCTTTTATCATATCACTTTCATCCCTACAAACAAATATTTGCTTTGTTTAAATGCATGACACTAAATCCTTAAATGTAAGAGTTATTTCTTAAATACATTTAGTTAAATCAAACTGTGTCCTATTCCTGTCTATAAATTTGTACTTAGATTTAACTTTTTAAATAAGCCCAAGTCTTTAAAAATAGACACTTTTACATTTCACATTTTATACTTTGTGAGGGGAAAATCTAGTTTTACTTAAGTTAAAACCCTATACTGGAATTAAATTGCTATTTAATTGCTCAAATAAGGTCAATTACCAGAAAGGTCATTTTCCATGTGAAGAACATTCAATGGCTTTGATGCTGAATCAACATTATTCCATGTATTCCTGCTTATCAGGCAGTCATCTTTATAGGTACAAGAAAACTGGGATCTAATTAAGGTTTGCTTCATCTGGTAATGGGAAGAAAGAGGAAAATATACAATTTATTCTTATTTTTATTTATCTTTCATCTAGGTAGGAATACACTCTCTAGTAATCAAGATATCATAAAAATTTCACATAGAAATTTCATTATTCATTGAGAACTTTTAACCCCTGATGTTTCTTAGTTTACAAATTCATTCATTGTCACAACTAGCATTTTTATGCATTTCAGTAATACCAGTTATATATATATTTTTCATATCTTTTGTAACAGTTTAGAAAGATCAATTTTAGACTCTTAAGAGGCCTTTCTTACATATTCCTGTGTCTGAACTGCTTTGGAAAGAAAGTTTTATGATAAATTTAAAAATAATATACATAATCCTAAATAAATACAAGTTCTTCATCCTAAGAATTACAGAGTACAACTCTTTCAGAAAAAACAAATACCAGTATATGTAACTCAAGAAATTAAGAAAGGGAGAAATGCTCAGATAAAAAGATAACTAAAAAAGGATGAAAAAAACAAAAATAGAAATCTAATGAAGAAATAAACTGAAAGAAAACAAAATGGTGACTGAGAGGCATTATTTCTTGATTAAAAACTTGAATATTTACGAAAATAAGAAAGATGATTCAAATATGTCATTCTAGGAAAATCTGACCAAGTGATTTAATGGTTGAATATTCAAAATACACTCTTACATTTATCTTCAAACGTTATAAGTAGGAGAAAATTAGAAAGCTAAATTTAATTCTTAACCACTGAAAAGGATGCCAAGGGAGTAGTTTTGGAAACGTATTCTGCAAACATAAAACCAGTGGCTGTTTTAGGGATAGAAATTAATTGCAGAACAAAGTAATTCATACAGATAAAGCAAGTTTCGACAATTACATCTAATATGTAATGACACTCAGTTATTATGAGGAGACTTCTCCAAATCCAAATTCATCCCAAATCCTTTCCAGAAGTAGACAAAGATTAAATGTCAAATAAATGATTCAAGAAAGAGAACTTAAACACTTCAAAGCATAATCACATTATGCAGAAGATTACTTTTGGAAATTTATTGATATAGTTCATAAAGTCTAAAACAGCACAACTTTATATTGTATATTCAGTAGTTCTATATTATGCTTATATATTCAGAGAACACTGAATTAACCCTCTGAGATATTTGCAAAGATAATGGCAGTGAAATCCACTGACTATGGTTTAGATTAGAAGAAATCAGAATAGTCCCCAGTACAGTTGCTTCATAAAATCAAGTTTTCTCAGCATGACAAATTTATATCTTTCTGACTAATGATATCTATAAGAACCTCCACTTCCTAGATCACTAATAATTATATCTAATTAAGAATTAGACCATTGGAATGTATCTTCCATTTGAGTGCAAAAATATACAAAATTTTTTAAAAATGTAAAAATGCAAAAGACCAAAACTATTTTTTTAAAGTTAGAGTAGGCTCAATAATGAAACTACAATCCCATAGCTTCATGAATCCACATGAATGCAACTACTGTTATATAGTTTCCACCATGAGATGCCCAAAAATATAACTGAAGGTTTTAACTAGCCCTTTCTGGACTTTATTAATTCCATAAATACAGAATTAAAGCAATTGACAAAACTACTAAGTGAATTTGGCTAATAAAATAAACTTTATATTACATCAGATCATTATTATAGTAACGTTATCTAAAAATTTCCATCTGTAAAACCAGTGGTAACTGTTGACATTATTGTTTTACATAATTTTCTTTCATTTCACCAGAGTTATTGCTTATAGAGAATTATAAATGTATTGCTTACAGAGAGTTACAGAGTATGGTAAGCGCATGAAGGCAAACGAGTGCTAACTGGCTGGCTAGGGTCACTTCCATAGTACCCAGATAGTGATGGGCGGCTTGGGGGGACTTTAGTCTTCCACCACAAAGTCAGCACCACCCATAAAATACTCTTAAGTAAAAATACAATAACTATATTATTTAGTACAATCAGTGTTTTCTCAATCTCATATTTAGCACAAATAAACATTTCTGTAGAAAACTGTGCTATTTTTATTTTTATTAATTTTTAACATACATCTAAGTAAAAAAAAAACCTTCCTTTGCTATATAAATACAGTCACAAAATAAGAGGTACAGCCCTCCTTATTATAACTAGATTTCCTCTCCTCAGGAAATTTTTGAACCTTAGTGACATCAGGAGCAATTTTAGAAAACTAGAGTTACAAGGCAATAGATTCTTAAAATCCTGAGACTGGATTCAGGTATGAAAGAAAAATATTTAACAACTGTTTTGTTTTTAGCATGAAAAATATTATAAACATATCAAAACATAAGAGAGAACCACAAGTTAAATATTATAAAATGATATAAACATATTATAAACATATCAAAACATAAGAGAGAACCACAACAGTTCTATGATAGTCTTGAAATACTTAGGTACAAAAGATTATATATAGGTTTTCTTTTCCTTACCCTACACAAAAAACTTTTTTTATTAATTACTACTTATTAAGTTCCAACTAGTGATAGGCACATAGTGTATTAAAGAGAGTATTAGGATGGCTTCTATAATCAGAAGCCATCCTACTTATAAAAGTTGCTGCTGACACACAGCTGGAAAGAATAATAAATAAATTGGATAACAAAATCAAGATTGAAAATATCTCAGATGGCTAGAACCTTAAGTAGAAAATAATAAGATGAAAATGAATGAGGATAAAGTCCTGCATTTAAGTTCAAACTATCAATTACAGATGTACAGGATGAGGAAAGCCTCACTTAAAAACAACATATGAAAAAGATCTAGAGATTTTAATTTATCACGAACTTGATTGGAGCCAACAATGTAACGTCCAGCTAAGAAATCCGCACACAAAGCAATGATGTGAAGGGAAAGGCACTAGATTTGCTGTCAAAACACCTGGCTTCTAACACTGGCTCTATCACTTATTAAGTAGATGATGTTCAGTAAAGCTCTAAACTTCTCACTTACCCACATATAAGTGGGAATAAAATTTATCTCACAAAATAGCCAGGATTAAATGGTTAAATACATGAAAGGGCTACATAAATGTTAGATCTATGTTGATACTATGCAGTTATTAATGTACTAACATATATGAAGAGAGTAGAGTGAGAAATTCGTTGAATTAGGCCAACTCTAAAATGATTCTTGGAATGCAGCTCAAAAAATGAGTTTACAATCAGCGTCTTCACTTTAGTTATTAAAACAATACAAGCTACATTTGCTTGTATTTATAACTTAAAAGAGAATGCTTTTCCTTTGTTCATAAAAGTTGAATTTTTGTGCACAAGATTAGTGGCTACATAGAACTGAGATTACTTCCTGTTGCCAATCTTCCAAATCTCCCTGTGTATTTGATTTGGAATCACAAATAAGCAAAAACAATTCCCTCTTGAAAGTGCTTTTGAAGTCCTAAACAACTAAGAATAATGTCCAGATTCATACATGGCTGTTAAAATCATTTTATGTTCCAGTCACATGAGAGACAAGGATTGAAAGTTTTCCTTTGTAGAGTGATTTCCCCCCTTTGGAAAGCTTTCTATCCACAGTAAAATTGCAATGAACTTCAAACTTGCCAAGAATTGGAAAAGTCCTTTTGCCACAAGCTCTTTTTAAATTGAAATTATTAGTAGGTTCCCAGTTTGGGGAAAATAGTACTTCACATAGGAAAGCCTGACTTCAGTTAAAACGAGTCAAAATATTGAAAAGTTGCAGGCACTCTCAGAATATTACAAAGAAAAGGAAAGTTCTAAGCCGTTATCCCGATAAATACACCAAGTTTGGAAAAGGAAATTATTCCTAACTAACCTCTTAAATATATAACTAAAAATAAATACTCTGAATTTATCTTTTTGTTCTTATATTATCACATTTTTAAAAGAATAGATTTGCTACCCTTGTGGCGTATGAATTTAGAAATATATCAAATGATCCATTTATTCTTCAGTGAAATTTCATTTACTTTGCTAAATAGCAGAAAGATAATATTTTTGACCTAAGTAGTAGTATTATCTTTGTATGAGTCCTCATTATAATTACTCTGCCTTTATTTACCCTTTAGGAATAGCATAAACTCTGAAGTCTCACCCCTGAATACAAACCTTTGCTCTGTTACTTCCTAGCTGTAGAGTCTGGAAAATGATGCTTTCTAGAGTTGAGCAAGGATTCATTAGGATGAAGGATATAAAATGTCTAGTACACTTGACACTTAGTAGGTATTCATTACTTCAACCAAAACAAATTCAATTCCTAACTGAATTTCTATTTCAGTCTAATACAAAAATCCCATCTTCATTCTAATGAAAAATGCTACTGACTCCCTTAAAGTCTATGCTTCTCAAAGAGACCCCAACTGACCATCCTATTTAAAACCAAAACATATCCAAAGAAACACACTCTCAGAGCTCTGCCTCCAGGGATCACGCCCCTCCATTCCCTTCACCTCTCCTTCTCCCAAAGACATCTATCTCCTAAACTCCAAGGGACCCCGACACTTGCAAGCAGGGGAGCAATGGGCAGCAGCAACTCATCCAGGGCTCACCCCCAAACCTGTCTCCAAGGCCCCCTTTTCTCTGACTTCCCAGTGAGCCAAAGCAGCCCAGTCCAGGCTCTCCTGTTGCTTCTTCTATGCCCTTCCTTGTTTCACTGCCCTAAATGTGTTTTTGCTGTAGTCAACAGATTCTTCCTTGCTTTTAGATCCTATTGCAAGTACCTGGGGCCCAGAATTCTCTGCACAAACTGTCCTAGGCACTGGGTTGGCACTAGCCTCTTCCTCTAGGCTCGTGGGCTGACTGTTCAAGGCATGGGTAATGGAGAGTGATATGTACACCTCTTGAGGGAGTGTCCCTAAGAGTATGGAACAGAACCAGGGTTGAAGGGTGTAGGGATAGGTCAGGGGCTTCCATTTGGATTCTTGCATCCCAGACCCACAAATATCAGGGGCTTTTGTTTGTTTTGTTCACTAACGTTTCTCCAATGTCTAG